GTTTAAAGTCTTTATGAAATCAACTACTTTTCTGTTTTTCATAACAGCAGATAAACCCACAGCCAAACTGACAGCAGGTCCATCAACCATACCAGTAGGGGGCAGTGTGACAATGAGCTGCACTGTGGAGCCCTCTGCTGGATGGAGGTACAGATGGTTCAGAAGGACCTCAGACACCTCTGAAGTTGAAGTCAGGATAAATAAGGATGAAAACAGAGAAATCACTGTGAGACAAGGAGGAATCTACGGTTGTTATGGAGTGAGAGGAAACCCAGAGATCTGCACACATTCAAGCTCTGAGGTCACTGTTAAGATAACATGTGAGTTTGTTGATGAAAACTATAAGCAACTAAATCTACTAAATCAAATATTTGCTATCTTTCTTAGTTTAATCACAATAACCTGTAATCATTAAAATCTATTTTTTCTAATTTAACTGTGTTCTCTGTATCACTGCATTTGTTATTTTTCTTTTTCTTTCTGGAAATAGTTTCCAACAAGGTTGTTGTGACTCAAAAACCAAACAGCTCTCAGATGTTCAGTGGTGAGACGATCATTCTGACATGTGAGGTCCAGGGAGGAGAAAGCACTGAGTGGACGTATGAATGGAGGAGATCTGGTTCTGTTATACACAGCACACCCAGTAAAGACTGGACTTTTAATGTTTCTGAGTCCAGCAGTGGAAATTACACATGTCAGTGTAGAAGCAGAGATGACTGGTATTCTTCAACAGAGTGGAGTGAATCAATCATTCTGTCAGTATCTGGTGAGATACGATTCTATTTGTCTGGATAAAAGCGCTAATTTTCTGAAATTGAGAATAATGTGATGGAATCATCAGATAATTAAAATCTTTTTATTTTAATTTGATGTTTTCCAGCAGCTGTGTCCAGTCCCTTCAGCTCTCTTATCTTGTGGATCATTGTATCAGTTTCTGGGATCGTTCTTGTTGTTCTGCTCCTCCTGTTGTGGCGCTGCAGTCAGTCCAGAGGTGAGACCTTTTTCTGTTCACACTGGATCACATTAAAACCCCTTTAATTCAACTAGTTCATATTTCATTTAATCAAAGTAACTTAAACGTCTTTTTCACAGGTTTATTCTGCTTCAGGTCAGTTCCTCAATTTTCATTTTTTTTATTTTTATAGAAATGTTTTGTTATTATATGTTTAATTTAATTTTCTAAATGTTATATTTTTCTATTCTTTATATCAAGGCGCTCAGAGAGGAGCAGTCAGATTGAGATTCGTGAATACAACTCTCCCTGTGAAGGTCTGAAGTTCCACCAATTTTAGTCATTTTTTGTTACTTTTTATCTAATTGCATATATATTTTCAACTTTGATCTATATTTTATGTTTTTTACTAATATGCCATATTGGGTTTTCTTAGCAAGAAACATAAGCCAGACATAAAAGAAAACCAACTAAACACATTTATGTCCAAAACATATTTTCCTTCTATTCAGCTTTTATTCCTGGTTTCTTTGCTGCAAATTTTCACCAACAGCATGTCTATATGAATAGCTCTACAGTTACTATCACCATATAACATATCTTTATAAACAGTTTGAGGTGAACTGTGTCATTTTGAATCAATGAAAGTTTTTGTTTTTGGACCAGGGTTGATTAGTCAGTCACTTCAT